GCGTACGACCCACCGGTGGGTCGTATTGTCCGAAATGGCACAAACGTACGACCCACTGGTGGATCGTATTGTCATGAATGTGTTAAGGTATAATACTCACTGAAGTTTTATGTGCTCGTATTTAATCAAACTTAAAGGGCACAGAAAATAAGGTATGGTTATCAGTGTAATTATCATGATATCGTAGCACATGATTTCTACTGCTACCGGTGAGCATTGAACCTCTCGGTACTTGTTTCGTCCAGTAAAAATGGGCAGCGTCGGTATCTTATCTATCGGCACAGCCTTTTATGATATCGCTCGGAGACGCATAACAACTTTGACCTTTTTTGTTTCTCTTTATCGTTGGATTATGATCGTCTAATAGTATTGAAAACAAGTGATATGAGGGAGAAATTGGTCTCTCTTTGTGTAAAGTAATTCAAGAAAAAGAGAAAAGAGGAGCCTATTTGGCTTACTTGCGGGATTTAATTTCTTTTTTTGCGATGTCGTCATTGTTTCTTTAGATCCACTGGAAATCGAATTGCCCGATGTGGAGGTGCCTGCCTTTCGTGCACTTCTTCGCTTTCTATATTCAGACGAAGTTGAAATTGGACCGGAGAGTGTGATGACCACGCTCTACACAGGTAGGTATTAACTTGCTTCTTTTTTTCGTACAAAAAATTTTCGATAATGATTTACTTATATTGTTTTAGCCAAGAAATATGCCGTACCAGCGATGGAAACGGCATGTGTTGAGTTTCTGAAGCAAAGTCTGGGTGCTGATAATGCGTTTATGTTGCTTACACAGGTGCGTGACATTGTTTATTGATGGAACCCAGTAAACAACTTGATGTTTGGTCATCACATAAGTTGGCTTCTTGCGATTTGAGAAAAGTGGTTTGAGTTGCAGGCGCGACTCTTCGATGAGCCTCAGCTAGCGAAATTATGTCTCGAAATTATAGACAAGAACACTTTTGAAGCATTGAATGGCGAAGGTCAGTTATATAGAGTTTATTTGTGGTTCGTAAAATCAGTGTCCTGGCAGAATTCTGTTTTCCAGTTTCTTACCTGTTCAGGGTTTACTCACCATAAGGAACTCATATCTGGGCTTTTCCGCTCATGAAAATGGCAAAAATGA